GAGGAGGGGAAGGGGTAAACTTCTGTCGACAACAATTGTTTGTTAATTGGGAGTAAGTGAATTGCTCGTCTAAAGCAACTAAATTAATGCTATCCCACAAGTAAACAACTGCTAATGGTAAATTTTATTTTTTATTTAAAAAATCGACTTTTTTTAAAATTTTTTTCTAAAATTCTCACTCTTTTTCCATCTATTCTCACTACAAAACCGTTGTCCCTTCTGCTTCTTCCTGTCGTCTTTCTCTTTTCTTTTCCTTTTCCATTAAGCACTGCGATTGTCATACTGACGAGGTCCTGTTGCGGTGTTAAAAAGTATATGACTTAATGGACCAAAACGTCTTATCTCACTTTTATCTCCTTTTAATGGACCGAAACGTCTTATCTCACTTTTATCTCCTTTCAATGGACCGAAACGTCTTATCTCACTCTTATCTCCTTTTCTCGAATTGTAATCTATCGCGTTTTCGCCATTTAGACTTCCAGAGTCAACCTGGTTGCTACAATTTGCTTATAATAAGTAAAATAAAAAACATTTTCACGTTAACTAATAAAATATTCAAAAATTTTTTTAATGCCAAGAAATCTTTCGGTCCATTAAGTCGTATACATTTCTTAATAGTAAAAAATGTTCCGGTCTGCTTATACTAAAAATACTGGCGAATGCGCCATAGATTACAGTATGAGAGAAGAAAATAAGAGTGAGATAAGACGTTTCGGTCCATAAAATTTTAAATATTATGGAATGAAATTTTTTTGGGAACAAAGCTTTGTCGAAATAAAATTGTCCTGGTCCAAAAAAGCTAAGCTACATGTTTCTTAATTCAGAGCCAAAACTGGACATTATCTTTTCAGTACGATATTTTCTCATGCCATACTTACCTTCAAATTGAAAAACGTTCAGCTGCCAAAATACGATGAATAGAACGAGTGAGAGAGAGAGAGACAGGCTCGTGATTAAATGATGTGCAAAATGAGGACGACGGAGAGCACAGCCAACCAAAATGCCAATTAACAGATTCCAGCAGAACAAGTCTGAAAAAAGCAGTGCAAATAAAAAGCAACAATCAGTCAATGTGTCGTGAACGGAATCCCTTTTGGCGGTGATGCGCTGGAAAGGAGGAGGAAGTGTGCTGCTGGTTTTTGCCGCGGATACTCGGAGCTGAAGTACTGCTTGCTTCCAGAGTGCTCTTATATAGTGGGGATGGAGAGCAGCTCAGATGTTGCTTTGCAGGGAGGTTCGGAAATAAAGGAGGTAATGTGAGAGGTGAATGTCCCACAAATCTTCACTACTTCGAGCCTTTCAACTCGTGGCACCACGTGAGGCACCAGTGCAATCTTTTGTGTTTTTTTGTGATTCGCTTCTTATGTATCAAACGCATGACATGTGTGTGTGTGTGTGTGCGTGCGTGCGTGTGTGTGTGTGGGTGGGTGTGTGGGTGTGTGTGTGTATGCAAGTGTACATATGCCCTGCTTGGCGACTGCATAAAATGTGAGACGTGAAATCACATGAACATTCGGAAATCCAGCTCCCAGGTATGCGTGGTTCCCGCGTACAACCCCGCGACAATTTCTGGTAAGAAAACTGCTAACTCGGGAACCAGAAAAGGCAGAAAGCTGAAATTTTGAGAGAATGTTCCCTGACCACTTTCCATGTAGATGCACAAATCGCTGTCTGAACTTCGAGGACCAGTGTATGTCATAAATCCGAGCTAGCTGGTCTCCAAGCGATCTTACAACAGCACGAAATACTGCAAAAACGCATGATCGTACGCGCTGGCCCGGGGCGCGTCCCCAAATGATTTACGGTAGGGGATACAACACAACAAACGGCAGCTGGCCCAAGGGCTCCGTGATGAGAGTGGGTGTGCACGAATTGGCGTAGTGTGCGCAGCGTGCAACCTCCCCCCTCCCCCCCTCGCGTCGCTGCTGCCAGCCGTTTTGTCCGGCCGGCCGGCCGGCCTCTGCCACACCTCAGTTATCGATCGAGAGCACGCCGCTTTCTGGAACACTGCAGGCGCTGCACCGCGTCCAAAACCGCTCCGGAAACTTGCAAAGAACCGACTGCCCCCGCGGCGCCCTGCACTACAGTGCCCGGGGACCATGCGTGGCTGCGTAAGGTACCAGTTCAGTCATGCGCACTCCCCTTCCCCCCTCCCCCACTCCCCAGCAAGCGCTATCTAGCGTAACTGACACCATCTCTGCGCCCTCCTACCCATGCACGCTCTCTCGTTACTTACGAAAGTATGTCGAATAATAATTGGCCAACGCACCGGCTGCCCGTGCGAAGATGCGTTTTTTGCACAGCGCCCCGCAGGTTTTTGACGCTAACGGCACTGGTTTTTCTGGCGGATGCTTGTAGCAAAAAGAATTTCAGGCTGACCGCCAGGACTGTCAGAAAAAATCCCTTCAAAATCCCAGTCTTCTAGCTTCTCACTTCCCCGAATCAGCAACTTACCCGGAAGAAATTTTCGAGGGACGTGCGTAGGTACCACGCTTACCCGGGGGATGGGTTTGAGTAAATTAATATCCAGTTGGACGGGGAACATTCCCCTAAGACTTCAGCGTTCTAGCTTCTCAGATCCCCGAGTTATGAACATACCCCAAAGAATTTTGGCAGGCCCGTACGCGGGCACCACGCTTACCCGGGGGATGAGTTTCAGTGCATTAACACCTACTTGGACGGGAAACATCCCGCTAAAATTTCAGCTTTCTAGCTTCTCAGATCCCCGAGTTATGAACTTATCCCAAAAAACTTTGGCGGGCCCGCACGCAGGTACCACGCAGGTGTTGGCACCCATTTTGGGGACTGGGGCCGGCATATGCATGTAGATTAAATTCCCGAAATTTCAGCCCCGCAGCTTTTATAGGTCTTGAGATGAAAGTGCGTGACAGATGTACACACAGACACACGGACACACAGACAACCCCTCGTCAACATGCGTTTTCTGCATTGCATAGCTGCAAAGAACGCATAAAAGATGTGTGCACTTTACTGGATCGAAACATTCCTATTAGGTTTTCAAAGAAAACTCAAGAACATGACATTTTTCTGCCAAGAAAATTGCTAACTCGGCAACCAGAAAAGCTGGAAGGCTGAAATTCTGAAATTTTAAGGAGATGTTCCCCGACCATGTATAATTTAAGAATTTCAAATTCACTCTCAAGGAACGACCGCTAAACGAGAACTATCCAATTTCCCTTAATGCAAAAATTACGATGATTTGCGATAGTGAGCACACAATGTGGGTATAAAGCAGCAACCATTTAAGTTTGTTACAGAAACGCATGTCTGTACCGGAAAGCCTGCTGTGTTCCAGCCTGGGTCTAATCTTTAAGCTACGAGATACATGTCTGAAACATAAGACAAAAATATCAATAACTAGTACAAAACGTAACACTTCGCCGACAACCGGTGGACAATGTGACCAGTAAATAGCACCCAACTGAAAGTAAGTGACCACTCGGATGGTCTTGACAAATAGATGGTGTGCACTCATTAGAGATGTGCAGCTCAGATCGAAGGGCATGATGTTGCTACCACAAAGCGCATTCCTACGAAGGAAGAGATTCATGGACCACAAAAAACTTTTCGTTCAGGAATGAGAAGCGACGCGTCTTGGTCAACACATACCGGCCGCGCGTGAAAGCTTTTTCTTCTCAAAGTGGAACCATAATTGGCCAACGCACGGGCTTCCCGTACTAAGATGTGTTTTTTGCATAGTTCCCTGCAGTTTTTGTCGCTATCGGCAAATGCTTCTAGCTAAACAAATTGAGACTGGCCACCAGAACTGTCGGGAGACACTCCCTTAAAATTTCAGCTTTCTAGCTTTCTTGGCTTCCGAGTTAGCAACTTACCCGAAAAAAACTTTCACGGGCCCTTATGTGGGTATCACGCATACCCGAGGGCTGGTTCTGAGCTCATTAATACCCACTTGGATGGAGAATATCCTCTTAAAATTCCAATCCTCTGACCTCTCAGGTTCCCGAGTTAGCAGCTTACCCGAAAAAAAATTCACGGGCCCCTACGTGGGTACCACGTATACCTGATATTTGGGTTTGAGCTCACTAACACATACTTGTATGGGGAACATTCCTTCAAAATTCCAATCTTCTAGCTTTTCAGGTTCTCGAGTTAGCAACTTACCCGAAAAAAAACTTTAACGGGTCCGTAATTGGGTACCACGCATACCCAAGGACTGGTTGTTAGTTCATTAATACTCGCGTGGACGAGGAACGTCCCCTTAAAATTTCAGCATTCCAGCTTTCTGGTTCCCGAGTTAGCAGCTTGCCCGTAAAAAACTTTGGAGGGTGCGTACGTGGGTACCACGCGGGTAAGACGGCCATTTTGGGGATGGGACTCGCACATGCATCTAGATTAAGTCCCTAAAGTTCCAGCCCTGTAACTTTCGTAGGTCTCGAGATGAAAAATCGGTACAAACGAACAAACAGACAACTTTTCGTCAATATGCGTTTTCTGCATTGCATTGATGCAAGAACCGCATAAAAAGCTTAACTGTATTTCTGTGCAGTTAAGCTTGAGTGTGGAATATAGGGGTTTGCTCGTTTCTCTTACCGTTCATGCATAATTTATGAGGGATTAATCTCAACAACTGATCTGTACCACTACCAATACACGACGGCAGTCTGTGGTAGAAAACGCAGACGGATGTCGTCTGCCGCTGCCTGTAAGCTTTTCATCTACTTTTTTCCTTTACATTTAGTTGCACCCAACAACCATTCTTTTCTTAGCAACGATGCGCCACACCAAAAGCCGGTCTCCGAAACCATTCCAGCTGTTTTCACTGGGACGGCCAGCTATCTGTATCCTTCAGGTGCGCCTTTCAGAAATCCAGCAACAGACAAGTCAGATGCAGGATTCGCAGAAAACATCGAAATTGATCTTTCCAATTTTGAAATCACGCCTTATTCTCTTCAGATGGATCGTCTCTTTGATGATTGGTTGAAAAAAATCGACAATCGTGGTAAAAGTCCAATCCTGAATGAGAACGTATTCACCGAGCAAAGTGTTATGGACTTCCAAGCCATGCTTTCCACAGCCGAACCGGATGCAGCCCAAGCTGCAGCTGCAACCTCGGATGTTCACACTGATCAACCAGAACTGTGGAACTCGATATTCGATAGCGACACATTTAAAGCTTTGATTTCGAGAAACGCTCAATCCAGTGGATTGCAGCCGGCTACTGATTTGGAGCAGCTGGAGCACATCCAGCAGAAGCCCACCACTTCCTGTGACAGGGTAGCGCTGCGCAGCGATCCCCTTCTTATCTACGTTGAAGCACAGCTTCCATCAGATCCGATGAATTTATCTAGAGACAACTGTATATCGGGAGATTTCTCTTCGATTCCCTCCACTGAAGTTGAGAGCAAACCAGTTTCAACACTTCTGCAAAGCCCCACCACTGATAAACTCGGACCAGGTGTAACTAGCCTGCACGGTTTTGCCAGTGGATCAGGTGCATTCTCCATGCCAAGATCCGTCGATTCAAAACTTGAATCAAATTCATCTCTTTTTATAAATCGACGCGTATCGCAAGGTGCTACCGGAGGTGCGACAGAGTCAAATCTTATTGCTGCGAGCTCTGCTGCCTCTAATCTTCTGTTAAATTTGCCAGACAAACACATCGTCATCAGACAGCCAGAAACAAAATCAAAACTTCGTGCTTTGCTCAATTGCGATAATTCTATCGTGAATCATGTACTAACTTGTAAACCGAATATGACCGTGCCATTACATTTTATTACCAAAAAACCGACCAGCCCCAAAGAACCAACCAATCCAAAAAAATCATTCAGAAAACTAACCACATCTCAGCTGGTTCCTGCCAAAACCTCAGTTCGAACTGGGTTGACCAGAGCTGCATCGGGTGGGCCAATCCGCACGTCGCAAGCAAGCAATAACACGAAATCAACCAAGGAGTTTACCTGCGGAAGATGTGGCAAGCTATTTACTACCTGCCGTGTTTTCAAAATACATCTTAGCAGCCATAACAAGGAAGGCGAACACCGATGCAATTGGCTCGGCTGTGGCGTTCTCGAAAAAGGCCCTATTCTGCTCACACGCCATTACTTACGACATATGCCGAAAAGTGATGTACAAAAATGTGACGAATGCAGTAAAACTTTTAACAGCTTCGCCCATTTAACCACACACAAGCAAAAAGTGCACACCAAAAAAGGTGAGCTTTGTTTCTGAAGATTGCAGCACTTCCTCGATCGCAGGCGTATCCAGGACGGCCTCCTGGAGGCGAGGATGGAGAGGGCGGGGCAGCGGGGGGGGGGGGGGGGGGGGGGGGGGGGGGGGGGGGGGGGGGGGGAAGAGGAGTGGGGATTTTGGATTAGATATCAGAAAAGGGAGGGGACGAAAAAACTGTTTGGAAAGGATCTTGCTGGGAGGTAGGAGCTGGAAATAAAGACGGGGATTATGAAAGAGTGGGGTTGGAGCATATGGTTTATGGTGCTAAGCAAGAAATTTGATGCTGAGTAAATGCCTGTCATGTGGAAAACTATCTCCTAGACCAAAAAAGCGGGATTTTTGCACGACTCCAGTTTCGCAACTCGTGCCCAAACCCAGAAATGATTGGAAAATTGCCCATTTCCATTATGCAAAATTTACGATGATTTACGCTAGTGAGTGCAAAAGGTAGGTGTAAAGCAACAGCCATTCGTGCAGTTAATGACCTGAATACTTCAAGTTTGGTGCGAAGATGCGTGATCGCACTACCAAGCCCGGTAAATTCCAGTCAGTTTTATAGTAATTGCCGTTAATGTTTGTGCAGATCAGTGCGACTGTGCACGATTTTCGGGAATGTGGAGGGTGTGCTGCGATATACGGCATTTTGTGTTTCAGGATTGCACTAGCGCCGCAGGGAAAAGAGGCATGGAGACGGAGTTGTACAAATTGGCCGATGAAATGTAAGCGTTTATGACGAAACACAACAAACATAAAATTATGGTTTAATTTATGGTGACTAATAAATTATAATAAAATTTTAACAAGTGGTATGCTGAATTGGCATGTTTCGGTTCATTAAGTCGCATTCATTTCAAGTCAGAACCGCAGCACAACTGCACCTTCTCAGTATGATGGTTGTGGTAACAAGTGATGATATAAAGTATAAAAATATTTTTATACTAAAAGTTTGAAGGCTGAAATTTTCAAGGGGAAGAAAGAATGCAGTAAAATGATAAGAAGTGAGAAGAAAAAAATTTTTTTACATCGATCCTTTGTGCTTCCTATTTGTTCGAGGTTTTCCGCACAAATTCAAAATGACAATTTTCAGGATGGCTAGCGACTCGGTCAAAGGAGTATTTTGTGCGGACGAGGCAGGCCTGAGTGTGTGTAATCGCGGAACACTGGACAGCGCTAGTATTGCGGGTGATGTGACAAACGAAATGATGAAACTTGCAAACAATTTGGAGCCCGATTTGCCGATCTCCTCCATTGTCGTGCAACTTTTAGGTTCCTTTTTTTCTTTCCCCGAAATTGCATATGAGGTGCCATCTTTACTTACTTTACCTATATCTTTACTTCACCCATACTAGTTTCAATAACATATCTAAGATTAAATTCATACTAATTACCACAGTCGTCGTATTGATGAGGTCCAATTATGGTAATTGGTAAGAAATGCATACGGCTTAATTGGACCGAAACATTTCTTATCATTAGAAAATATTTTTCAGTACATTTCAAGTTTTATTAATTCCTTTTTCTTTCAGCATTAAGATATTTTTATCAAATTTTACGGATAAAAAAGTTTTTATCATCCGATCGATCGTTCCCAGCCTCTCCAGGACTCGTTTGTTTGTTTTGATGGTGATATTAATATATGTCAGGGAGCCAAACCTGCCATCAGTTTGCATGTGAACAGCTTTTTTTCCAAGATGAAGCCCTTGCCTTCGGGTGATTGTTGACTTTTGCTATCGCTTGGGCTACTTCCTTAGTGCCAATGTTCCCATCCATCGTTGGGTTGAGAGCCAGTACGAATGCGGTTTTGATTTTTTTTTTTTTTGACATATTTCCCCATTTCAGCATGTGCGTGTTTGAGCCGCCGATTCTAGCAACCAGTTTGATTCTGGAAGCCTAAATGGCAAAGGCGCAATAGATTGCAGCATGAAAGAACAGTGGGAGTGAGAGATAAGACGTTTCGGTCCGTAAAGTTATATACGTTTAACTTTCCGTTACAGGTGCAGATGGCAGTTCACTTTCCATTGCAAAAGATGGACCACTGACCACAGCTGTACATCGCTCGGGCCGGAAAAAATGAATGATGAACAATATGTGTCGCTGAATCTGTCAAGCACGGCTGCCAGCAAACCAGTGATAGCTCGATTCCGGTGTTCTCTCTTCACGAACATGTTTGGGGGAAAAAATTTTTTTTTCTTGAAGAGGAGAGGGGACAGTTGGACGGTCTTCCCGTTCTTGCACCGCAGCATCGCGTCCATCCCTTCTAGCAGTTAGTAAAACTCTGCTCGGTTGAATTAGAGCGGACTGCAATGACTGTGGTGTGCCTCCCCCCTCCACCCTGCCTTTCACTTTCTCCGGATCACAGGACGAAAGCCGAGTTCAGTGGGAAGAAGGCAGGGGCTGAGGATGCCAATTTAGGTAGCAATGTAGTCATATTAGAAAGAGGGTTGGATATTGATTGGGAAGAAGCTAGGACCTTGCCTAGAAGCAATAAATGGCAACGCGCACCAGGCTAGCCGGTGCGATCATGCGTTTTGTGCAATTCAGCCCAT